ATAGTCACGGATTTTTCCTTGCTTGCATAAAATCTTTGGTTCAGAGGCCTAGAAGGAGTCTGTGGTAAAAACTTTCCTTAGAGACTGAGATAACAAAGAAGCACTGTGATCTTGATTGCTTACAGCTGCCGCAGGCTCGTAGCCAAGATTTTTAAAGTCAGGGGGCATTTAAATTTCTTAGGGGGCACTAGCTAATCAAATTAATCCAGGGGAAAAGGCTGTGACAACCTGGGCTGGATGGGAAGTCAGGGGGCCTTGCCAGCAAGTTGGGGGGGGGGAGCTAGCCCTAGGGCTGTCAAGTCCCCCCGCGGGGCGAATTTCCCCCCGCTTTGGAGGCCCAATTTCCGCCCCCGCGGAATCGGGCCCCGGGGGAAACCCCACCCCCGCGTGCACGTCACAGGGAAGTGACGTCATGACGCTGGGCACGCTGGGGGCGGGGCCACAGCCATTTGAGGGGAAAACTCTATGTTTGAGGGGAAAACTCTACCAAGGGTCTTTTCCGCTATATGGCAACTTCATGTGTTCATGGGCAGGTTCCTGTGGGCCCATCTCGATCATGCCCTGGAATGTTAACCAGGGAGTGTTAAAATGGTAACCAACTGACTTGACACTATGATCTAGCTTGTTCTTGTTCCGTTAATGGTTTGGGAGCAGTCAGGGAAAAAAGTTGGTAACCCCAAGTGCATTGAGGGGGCGTGCTCAGATCACATAGGAACACTATAGGGGCTCAGATCATATATCACCTTGATCTCCAGCGGGGTCTCCAACCACCAGGTGGGCATGGAGATCTCCCAGAGTTACAACTGATATCTAGATTACAGAGATCAGTTTCCCTGGAGAAAATGGCTGCTCTGGGAGGTGAACTTTATGGCATTATACCCCACTGAGGTCCTTCCCCTCCCTAAATCCTATCCTCCCCAGGTTCCACTCCACCAAATCTCCAGGAATTTCCCAACCTGGAGTTGGCCACTCTAATCTCCAGAGTTGTGCCCAATGGGGCCATGTCACCTACTGGCATATTCTGGTGCCCATCTGTTTCCTATTTATTTATTTATTTATTATTTTTCATATTTATATCCCGCCCTCCCCAGTGGGCTCAGGGCGGCTAACAAGGGCAGGCCATTTGCCATGCCATATATAAAAACATGTAAAAACATAATAAAACATCCAACATTAAAACCACAGTACTCAATCCATTACTAATGTCCTAAATCCAAGATGGTAAGTCTACAGTTCCAGATGGTACTCCCCTGGTGTACATGTCCAATGACGACGGCATCAGATCTTCTACAGTTTCCTGGTTCTTCCTCGGGCCTCGTCGATGCATCCTTTAAGATACCTTGACGGTGGTGGTATAATGGGGCAGCGGCTCCTACTCAAACGCCTGGTGGAAGAGCTCCGTCTTGCAGGCCCTGCAGAACTGCATAAGGTCCCGAAGGGCCTGGATCTCTCCCGGGAGCTCGTTCCACCAGGTAGGAGCCGCCACCGAATAAGCCCTGGCCCTGGTCACAGCTAGTTTAACGTCCTTAGGACCCGGGATGTCCAACAAATTTTGGTCCCCCGACCGTAGTGCTCTCAACAAAGAATCTCTTCCTGAATGTAAAGAGCCAGTCCTGTAGTATGCTTTTTGCTCAGGGTT